ATTCGGTTGGTGTTGTCGGTGACGGTGTCCATGGGTGTCGTTCCCCTTCTTCGAGGTGTCGCCAAGGTATGTTGGCATCTCCATCGCCCGCTCTTCGGATTGATAGATATCTTCGGGCGAAACCCTAGGTTCGGAGTTGAACCGGTGTGATGGCGGCATCCTCATCGTCGCTAATCTCTTGGGAGCATCGCGCTTGAAGATAGGGTCTTGAGGTTCCATGTTGCGCTACTTCCAGTGCTCGCCTCTGCCCAAGGTGATCTTCAAAGCGCAATGTACGCCGTAGCCGGTGAGTGCAAGATAGTGACTTTAGTGGACCGACCAAGTTCCGCCATTTACTTGCCACCTCCTTTAGGCATCAAGGGTAGATGGTGCATCAATGAGGGAAGTTTAGTTCAAGTTGGTGCTGTCTTCGGTGGTGACTGCTGTTGGTCAAGATGCGGCAACGTTGCTTAGTCTTGGACATGCTCTTTCTGTGCTTTGTAGTTGTGTCGTCGATGGTGGTTGTCTTCGGACTAGCCCTGGTGTGGAGTCTGCACTATGCTTGTTGTCGCAACAAGTTGTGGCCGTCTTGTAATTAAAATTTTGCCTTCTATAAAAATATGGTACGCGTTTGCGTACTCTCAAAACTAGTAGAACCATATAAAGGTCTAGTTAGTGCCTTCTACCGATGCAAATAGGAATGCAATTTTTTGACCCTCGAGGTACCCTCTGACTCTTTTTAGTTGAACCAACTGAAGTATATTTTCAGTGGATGTAACTCTTTAAGATTTAGTTCCTTGAGTTCTAAACTGGATATTCAGAAACGCAGATATTGATGCTGTGTTCCCCGACCACTGCGTAATAGATAAGCAGAACAAAAAAGCATGTCTATAGATATTTTATGTTGCAGTTGTTATCCTAATTTAAAACAACTCCAATTTTAGACAGGAAAGATTTTCCCCCCTAATAATTGTCACACACATCCCAACTTTGAAAGCATACCATGAATTACATATGGAACATCAGTTATGTCAGTATCTAGTTTTGATGTTTGGTGTCCAAGAAGAAAAGAAAAGGGAGAACACGGTTAAGATGTTTGGTTGAGAGTTTTTTCCTCAAACAAGGGCCTACGACCTGCACTCACAAGTTAAGATATGAACTCCGGTCCTTGACAGAACCAACAGGGGGTTGATCTGCCGATAAACCATGGTATTGTATGGATAAGCACAATTTTTGGTTTTCTTTTCCATTCTTGTGTTGTGTGAACTGAGAAATCAACGGAATAGCAAACGTGAATCACGTTACAAATTGAACCCACATCAGCTTTGTCATGTCGCTAAATTTACTTGTATAGATATATGCATATCTGTCTTACTACCTCGATTATGTTCATATTTTTGCAGTGTCAGACATATTGCGTACGTAGTTGGCTGGCTACATAACTAGTAGTCACAACATTATGGACAAGTTGGCAGCTGGAACCACATGGTTGGCCATAGCTATTTTTGTCATATCTGTTATAGCCACCAAGATTTCAAGATGGAAAAGCAATGTCCATCTGTCCACAAGACCACTTCCGCCTGTCGTAAATGTCCTTGCTCTCTTAACTTCGCTCTTTAACAAGGGTTTCTGGGTTACAATCAATGATCTGTATACAAGGTTTGGTACTGTATTTACTGTAAATTTGTTTGGACCAAAGATAACAATGTTGGTTAGACCGGAGGTCTCAGCTCATTTCTTCCAAGGTCTGGAGTCAGAGATAAGCTTTGGTAATTTCGCCGAGGTCACCATTCCCCTTTTCGGCCAAGAAGTTCTTTATGCTGTAGATACCGCAACTCGCAACGAGCAAGTAAATTTCGTCATTGATGTACTATTGCCATCAAAGATGCGGAGCCTCGTTGATCCCATATCGCAGGAAGTAGAGGTAAATCTAAAAGAGACCTTCAGTTTATTTTGACTCCCCATGGCTTTTCTTCTATCTCGTTATTTTTGTGGTTTCATGTTTTTGCTTATTAATACACCTGTTCGAGAGGCAGTTTGCTTGGGTAAATTCCCATACTTAAACTAAGTTTGCACTTAAGTTGACTACATTTGTTTCTTAAAAACTAAATATACATGTAGGACGTGTGCATATGATAGCAAGGCTGATGCTGATAAGGATATTAAATGATGGGCGTACGTGTCAACTTAGCCCACAAGACATGTCTAGACCCCTTTTTTTAGGGAAGGCACGTCTAAAATCCTTGTAAGACTACACATCAGATTAGCAAGATGGTGTACTGGGCCTGGTTTTAACATATGGCATTAATTTTGGATAAAAGATATAGAGGACAAGAGTGGTGACACCATGCATATGAGCTGCACTTGACTGATCGCATTCTTATACTACTATGCAGGCCTACTTTGCAAAGTGGGGACAAGCTGGCATAGTTGATCTTAAACATGAACTTGAGCAGGTGCTCATGTTTATCTCATGTCGGTGCCTACTCGGATATGAGATTCAGGAGATGATGATGGAAGAAATATACTGATTGTTCCATGAACTTGGGAAGGGCTTAAACTTTTTCAGTTACTTGTTCCCACATATGCCAACTCCAACAAACCGCCAACGCGACAAGGCACACATCAGGCTGAAGGAAATATTCACCAAAATCATCAGGTCACGTAGAAGCTCCAACCGAGTTGAGGAGGATGTACTACAGAGGTTGATGGATTCCAAGTACAAAGATAGTCGCTCCACAACTGAAGCAGAAATTTCCGGCATAGTCATGGCCCTCGTCTTTGCTGGAAAACACTCGAGCACTACCGCTAGTACATGGACTGGAGCTTTCATGTTGAGCAACACCAAGTTCTTAATAGCTGCCATGGAGGAGCAAAAGCATATCATTAGCAAGTACGAGAACCAAATAGACTACAATGCCTTGTTAGAGATGGATACCCTTCATAGATGCATTAAGGAGGCAATGAGGATGCATACTCCATCGCAAATGTTAATTCGCAAGGCACATAAGAACTTCAAGGTGCAGGCCAAGGAAGGCAAGGAATATGACATACCTAAAGGACATAACATTGTAATCCCTACGGCACTCAACAATAAGTTGGCACACGTTTATAGTAACCCTCATGTGTATGATCCTGATCGATTTGGTCCTGGAAGAGAGGAGGACAAAGTTGGTGGCAAGTTCTCTTTGACGACATTTGGTGGTGGAAAGCATATTTGCCCTGCCATGACCTATGCTTACCTTCAAATTAAATTGGTATGGAGCCATCTGCTAAGAAACTTTGAGCTCAAGCTAATATCTCCTTTCCCTGAGGCAGATTTTAGCAAGTTGGGCCAAGAGCCTAAAGGAAAAGTAATGATAAATTATAAGAGACGTCAACTGTTGTGCTGTTAGCCGTTGATGAAGTAGTACAATAATGTATCCCCAGTTAATATTAGCTTAGAATAAGAATTTGGGTATGGAAAGGTTCGTCCCGAAGAAGGTTTTCCTGCTGTCTCCAAATTCAGTTAGACTTGATTCTACTCAAATTTGTAATTGGCCATATATGCCCTCCCATGATCGATCAATACAGACATCCAATTGAATCTATTTTCCGTACCTTATCTTCACTCTGATATGCCCCTCATCCTACTGTGCTGAGGATGCCTATCCACGATGGGCCATAAACCGTAACTTGTTGATAGATGCATGCAAGGCAGACTTCCGCACCTTACCAGTGCATGGAGACTTGTAAGACGTCTCAACCCGCGAATTATATGAAGTGATGCATGGAGACTTATAAGACATTTCAAACCATAAATTATATGAAAGGTGCAGGAAGACTTGTTAGACATTTCAAATCATAAATTGCTGATAGATGTATGTGAGGTAGACTTGTACACCTTGGAGGTCCACGACAAGATAAAACACAGAGCACAACGATTCTTTCCCACTCAATAAAAATTACTATGATGAACACGTATCTGAGTTAGGAGTATAATAAAAGGCCAATGATAAGGTGCGGCATGCCGCCACGCCTCTACCCTGCTAGGAAGAAAAATTACGGGCCACAATACGTGCCTCTGACTAACTTTGTGTTGATGTGTTTGTGTGCGTATGTTCTGGTCGTGGTGTTTGCGTGAGTGCCGACGAGATTTCTGGTGTTACAGCTAGTTCATATATGTTGAGAAGAGTTGCATGTATAGGGCTAGTTGTGCTGTCGGGTGATTGTGTGTTCGATACCTAGGAAACAGCTAAAAATTGGTACCATAGCTAAGGTGTGGAGGTTCCGCCCAGGTTGCCTCATGATGGACTGGAAGGATTCTTCGTTGCCGTCAAGTTGTCTCACAGATGAAGGACAATCAAACAAGAGGATCATGTGGACATCGAAGACAAGAGGAGGTGGTATGACCATCCGGCATGCCATGCTTGAAGGCGAGGATGTGTGCTGCAAAGATGAAGATCTTCATACGAGCACATGAAATTTGGGGAGCGGTGGAAGGCGATAAGACGGTTGACGAGACAAAGGACCATGAAGCATTCTCCGCCATAGCCCTTGCTTTGCTTCTTCAGTTTGGCTAACTCAGAATTCGCTCCATCAGGGCCGGCCGCCTAAACTGAGGTCCAGCCAAATGCAAAGCATTGCCTGTTAGCCTTAATCTTCATTCATGTATCTGCTTTGTTTGCTTTCATTATGCATGTAGCATAGATTGGGGACTAGCTAGTCGGCGAATCTTAAGCAGGGATGTGCGGAGAAGGCGAGATACCGGGTGCCGTGTGATACAGCGAGTACGGCGAGATGCCGTAAAGCTGCACGGCCGTGTGATGCGGCAAGTACATGAGAGGCTGGAGCCTGACCGGCTAGACGAGGTGGATAGAGCTGAGAGATTCAGGGAGTTAGTTGCCAAGCGCCGGGTCGTGTGAGCGTTGAGTCAATGCTGCACACGCAGTGGACATGGGCGTGCATGTAGTGGCCTAGTGGGTAGTTAGTGCATGGAGCTAATTAGTTGGGTTAGTGGCCAAGCGTGGTAGCCGGGTTAGTGGACGTGTCCAACCCCTGGTGTATATATACATGCATTGACTTTTAATGAAAAGTGTTGAGGCCGTGAGGGCTGAGGTAAAATGTAGTCTCTTGTTTCACCAAGGTGAAGAGCCTCCCGGCAGGCAAAGCTGGCGGCTGGTTTCTGTCTTGGCGTGTGTGTGTGTAGACTGTAGAGTTCCTACGAGTGTGTGTGTTGAGAGAAGAAGAGAGGAACCCCAAGAGGTTGTGCGAGGCCGCTCGAGAGGAAGAAGAAGAGGCGCCGCGAGGAGAGGCGGCGCCAACATTGCCTGCCATTACACTAGACGAAAAATAGAACAATCGTAGGATGATTTTATTTTTTCGAAAAAGGGAAATTTTATTATCTCACAATGTAGTATCAAGCGGATACAAAGCATTATGAGTAACACCCAGTCTCTGCATAATTAGGATGCACACAGCCAAATCCAAAAGTCCGACAAGTTCATCAAATAAAAACCGACAAATCGGCAACAGTAGAGTCCTATAGACCGACACTATGCGTGTGTTGAAGGAGGTGGTGGATCGACCCGAAGGTTATGCTGGCATTCATGTCGGGAAAAACCCTAGATAGCCACCTACTCCAATCGCGTACGCACCACCTTGAACAACGGTTGGTACTTCGGTCGTTGGGTAATAGACCACGTACGTAGCGAGTGCATACACCGGAAAATAACCTGCAGAGGAGAAGCATTTTTTCATAGAAAACCAAATCATTTCTACATAGGCAAAGCGACCAAATTAAGGCACACGCTCCCGCCCTTATTAGTGTTTTGAAACTATTTGGAATACCGTCCAACCAATGACCAAAAAGATTGGCAACATTTATGGACGGATGTAAATTTGACACTATTTGGATGACAGGCCACATAGAACGTGCAAACTTGCATTGAAAAAAAGTCTTTGATTGTCTTGTCATGAGTACAAAAAAACATTTCTTACTACCTTGCCAGTTGCATCATGTGAGGTTGTCTTTGGTTAACACAACTCCCCTACGAAGATACCACACAGAAATTTTCACTTTTCGTGGAATCTTGAACTTTAAAATTTTCTTGTTATTACTCACTGGTATCTCAGAATGTGTGAGCGCACAGTACATAGAGTCTACAGAGAAAGACCCAGATGTAGTAAGGTTCCAGCAAGACACATTCTGGCCTTGTGTCAAGTTAATCGAATCCAGCCGGGATAAAAGATTATGCCATGACACAAGTCGGGGGTCAATCAATTTCCGCCTGAACGAAATATTCAGTGGGGATGAACTGAGCGCCTGCGCAATAGTATTATTCTTATCGCGAGCAATGTTGTATAAGGCTGGATATTGTTCTCGGAGAACGACATTGCCTAGCCATATGTCTTCCAAAAAAGGAATCCCGACCCGTCCTTTATCGTGAAAGACCCAAAGCGAAAGAGATGTTTCTTTGCCGCCATTAGGCTAGAGCAAAAGTGCGAGTCGCCATGTTTCCAAAATGCTTGGGACATCGTCTTTTGGCCTAGTTACTTGTTTCCCAGCATGGTTTGCCAAACACCATCCTCCGTAAGAAGTTTGAATAACCATTTACTGAGTAGGGTCTCATTCTTGACCTGCAGGTCATGAATTCCAAGACCATCTTGGTCTTTTGGCCTACAAACCACGCTCCATTTGGCCAACCTATTTTTTTTTCACAGTCTCCTTGCTAAAATAATCTAGATCTAAAATAGTCCAGTCTTTGTAGGACCCCTTTTGGATGTTGAAAGAAAGAAAGCATATAGAGAACCATATTTGTGAGGACAGAGTTAATCAAAACCAACCATCCTCCAACTGAGAGCGGTTTGCCTTTCCAACTGCTCACCGTTTCTCTAGACGCTCCTCTACATGCTTCCACTCTGCAATGGTGATGCGCCGATAATGAATCGGTATTCACAGATATTTAATCGGGAATTGGCCATGTGCGCAACCAAATAGGTCAGCATAATCGTCCGCCGCCTCAACGGCTTCTCCAAAGCAGAACAATTCACTTATTGTGAGACCCGACATTTGCTCAAACGCTGAAAGCAAGAGCTTCTGGTTTTGAGCCTTGTCCAGATCATGTTCCATAAAAAGAATTGTGTCATCGGCGTATTGCAAAATATAGATGCCACCATCCACAACGTGTGGCACTACTCCTGCAATCTGGCAGTCCTGACTTGCGCGTTCAATTAGAATAGCCAACATGTTAGCAACAATGTTAAATAACATTGGGGACATGGGGTCACCCTGCCATAGGCCTTTTTTTTGTCTGAAAGTAATGGCCTACATCATCATTGACTTTGATGGCCACACTACCTTCGGTTACAAAATTTTGAATCCACTGGCGCCATTTATGTGAGAAACTTTTCATTCTTAGTTCTTGTTAGAGGAAAGACCATTTGACCTTGTCATAGGCTTTTTCAAAGTCAATTTTGAATATCATCCCACTCATGTTTTTTCGGTGCATCTCATTGACGGTATCATGCAGGACTCATAGAGTATATTCCTTCCTTGCATTAATGCCATTTGAGATGGCCGGATAACATGAGAGCATGCTATTGGCTCTTGTCTTAGCTTGTGATTCACATCAAGCATGAAAATGCAGTAGAAAGTGATTGGAACATGGTCTAACAGAGCACAGTTTGACAAAGTTCAGGCATCTCAAACTGGGACAAGTTTGGTTACATTTTCCGATCATGGCAATCATCAATCCATGAAAAAAACAGCATTGTTTTCAACATATCAGAACAACAAGTAAGATTGTTCTCAATTTACCAACATACCATTCTTGCAACTAAGAAAGATAGTTTTATAATGATTAGTTGATATCCGGTAAGCACATATTTTCACTTTCGCGGTACTCATGAGAAGCGGGAGAAAGAAAACCCTGAATATGCGAAGCAGTTGCTGTAACTCAGAGTCACCGGAGGAAAGAGCCTGCCTTCTGATCATCTCAACTGTATAAAAAGATTACAAACATCAACAGTGGGGATGGGCATGGTGGGGGCTTCAATCGAGAGAGGCAAATACGTCATCTTATAAAATAAAGACAGCAAGGGAAAACATAACCAGCTTGCAAGAAATTCAAAAGCGAGAGGCCCATGTAAAATTTTAACTTAAGATCTTAAAGCACTTCGTAGTTAACTCTTCGTTGCAATACTTCATACGTTGAAGCCTTTAGAATTATTGTTGTGGTACCCTCTTTGGATCTAAGACACGAAACCCCTTATCTACTACCCACTCGGTCCCGAATTACTTGCCTTTGCTTTGTGTAGATACGGACGTATCTAGACGCGTGGCCATGGATTCCCTAGTGGATCTTTGTTCTGTCTATTTCTAGCACAAGATTCCCTAGTGGATTTGTCTGATATA